AGTTTTTATCATAAATGGATGCTGTATCTTGTCAAATGCTTTCTCTGCATCTATTGAGATGATCATGTGATTTTTATTCTTCATTTTATTAATGTGGTGAATGATGTTGATTGCTTTGTGCTTGTTGAACCATCCCTGCATCCCTGGAATAAATCTCACTTGATCATGTTGTATGATCTTTTTAATATATTGTTGTATGTGATTTGCTAATATTTTGTTGAGGATTTTTGCATTGAGGTTCATCAGTAATATTGGCCTGTAATTTTCTTTTTTTTGTGGTCCTTCTCTGTTTTGGTATCAGGGTAATGTTGGCTTCATCGAATGAGTTAGGAAGCTTCTCCTCCTCTTCAATTTTTTAGAAGAGTTTGAGAAGGATAGGTATTAAGTATTTTTTGAATGTTTGGGAGAATTCACCAGGGAAGCCATCTGGTCCCGGACTTTTATTTTTGGGGAGATTTTTGATTACTGTTTCAATCTCCTTACTGGTGATTGATCTATTCAAATTCTCTATTTCTTTTTGATTCAGTTTTGGAAGGTTGTATGATTCTATGAATTTATCCATTTCTTTCAGATTGTTGAATTTGTTGGCATATAGCTTTTCATAGTATTCTCTTATAATCTTTTGTATTTCTAGGTGTCTGTTGTAATTTCTCCTCTTTTATTTCTGATTTTACTTATTTGACCCTTCTCTCTTTTTTTCTTGGAGAGTCTAGCTAAAGGTTTTTCAATTTTGTTTATCTTTTCAAAGACCCAGCTCTTGGTTTCATTAATTTTTTCTGCTTTTTTTTAGTCTCTATTTCATTTATTTCTGCTCTGATTTTTATTATTTCCCCTCTTCTACTGATTTGGGCTTTGTTTGTTCTTCTTTTTCCAGTTCCTTTAGGTGCATTGTTAGATTGTTTATTTGAGATTTTTCTTGTTTGTTGAGATAGGCCTGTATTGTTATACACTTCCCTCTTAGAACCGCTTTGGCTGTATCCCATACATTTTGGCATGTCATATTTTCATTTTCATTTGTCTCCAGGTATTTTTTGATTTCTTCTTTGATTTTTTCGTTGACCCAATCATTTTTTGGTAGTATTTTGTTTAATCTCCACATATTTGTGGCTTTTCTGATTTTCTTCCTATAGTTGATTTCTAGTGTCATACTGTTGTGGCCGGAAAAGATGCTTG